GTAATATTTTATCGATATCAGTGTCATATAAAATGTTTTTTAAAAATTTTAAGCCTCTGAAGGGGCGCCACGATAATCTTGCCCGGGGGGGCAATATTGCTAAATCCGGCCCTGCATAGAGCCCTTGCAAGGTTATACGTATAGCGTAACTGTCTAAGCAGAAATTGTCTTGACGAGGATGAGTAACTCGGTTAGGATTTACATTGAATTATTTCTCTATAGCGAGAGTTTGTTTTTCTCGTACTCTTAACCCGATACCAAAAAGTGTCACGCCTTATCAAACATTAGACAGTTTATTTGTAGAACTGTTTATTTGTATTGCCAACTACAAAGAATCGTTAATTCCGTTGTAAGCAACAAGATTATAATACAAGTTCGCGTTCTAATGGGTTTTCCCCAATGACAGAGTTAACATGTCGATTGCATATACATATTACGCTTCGTACATATATTATATGTAGTTTCTGGGAAGTACGAGTTTCCCTTGCGTTATTTGCGTCAAAGTTATTTCTTAACGGTCATTTCGATAGTAATCTTGTTACGTTGGTAACGTAACGAAGAGATGAAATTAATCTTAATTGTTCGAGTTATCGATACTTATAATAGTTACGTACTGTTGTTTATGTATATAAACAATTCGCTTAATATATTATCTATTATTTCATATTCATTTCAATCTGTAATAAAATAATACAAATTTTAGCAAGCGAATATGAAATAATTTACAATTAAATGATCGTATAAATACTATGTTCTCGTTATTAATTATTAAAGTTTGAAATTATTCCACATACATTATTTTATTTTATTTTATTCGATATTTAATTACATATATCTTTGCTTATGTCGATATGGTATTTCTGGTATGATCAAAAATCAATAGGAGAAACTATTTTAGTATCTCCAACGAGAAAACTTCAAACGACATTATTAATATTAAGGATTGGACACACTAATCTGACACATAAATATTTAATAACAAAATGTATATGTACATATATATGTATACTAAACGATACGGTCGAGTTTTATAAATTTGCGATAGCATTGGGCAGTACGAGGATGACATTTATATAAACAACTAGTCGCTTAAGCAAATGTGGTCGCTAATAACGTTGATGTGACCTTAAACAAATCATTAAAAAAAGAAAAAGTATATTCATTTTATATATGTTATCTTCTTATGTTTATCGATTAGTACAATTTTTATTTGAATTCTGCATCACAAGATCAACTTATCTGTTATATAATATTGACCTACACGCAGTGTCGGGTTTAGCAATATTGGCGCCCTGGGCAAAATTATTGTGGCGCTCATTCGGGGGTTACGATTTTTAAGAACGAAGGACAAGGTAATAATATCAAACGATGAATCTGTAGTTAGATTGTAAACATTGTTAAACTACATAGCATAGAAGAGACAATGAGAAAATATCGGTATATTCGCGTACCAGGGACACCGGGACAGTGCGTCCTCCAAAAATCCAGCGCCCCGGGCAACTGTTTTTATATCTCTAACTGTACATCGGATATAACATTAACAATCATGTTAAAATTACAAAATTCAAAATGGCGGATCCAATATGGCTGACATGTATCTTAAAAAGTTATTACATTTTCATGAAACTTTGGTATTTATGACTTACTTGAGTCGCAAACTTTGAATCTGATATCATAATTGCAAAATTCGAAATAATATTTGATATTATAAATACAAAATTTGATCAGCTTGAAAGGGTTAATGGGTGAACGAAGAATTAAATACATATTTTATGTATGGCTGACCATGTCTAACGTCAAAGTACATGTACCACAAATGTTCATTTACACTTAACACTTAAAAGTCTAATTCAATTTTTATACGCTATAGATATCTGAAGCCTAAACAGGGATAACAATTACTACAAAATATTATTTTCCCTTACTCGTTCTCAGAAATGTCATCTTTTGCATAGTTAGTCTTAATGACTATACAAATATTCTAAAAGGCTAACGAAAAGAAAATGTCAAAAGTAATATTTGATTAATGCTCTGTGACTCATGAGTTAAACGACACCGAGACTGCTAGATGTACTTTTCTTTTCTTACACTTTAACCACTCACACAACGTGTGTGTGATATTACTGTTACTGCGTAGAAGTTCCGGTTACGTAGAGGATCTGCGTTGTTACGTGAACTTCTATTTTTTCTTGTCACAGAATTTCGTCCTTTTTCTCTCGTATTTTTAAGCAAAAATTATTTCTGTAAAAATTTATATGGCGATAGAACTTGCTGACCGTAGCACTTGTTCACCTTGGGACTTCCAGGTCTTGAAGGTTCTATCACACGTGCATCGACGTTGCAATTCATGAAAAATATAAATAATTAAACAAATACAGTTAGGTCTACAAATATAATGCTTTACCTTTTCGACTCAAACAAGATTTCTTTGCTTTGATGCATATTAATAATCGGCATGGGCAAAATAAACAAAATTTGTTAACATGTTATATCTAGCAAATATTTGAACCAAATGAAAATAACGAATACAAATTATTTTAATTATTTTAATATTATTAAAAATAAATTTGTTTAAATCTCTTACTACGGTGTTAAAGAATGTTAGAAACCATTCAATTTTGTATTTAAAAGTTTCTCGTTTTCTCTTATCATTTTCGGGTTAGTAAAAGGGATAGTTTCTTGAAACGCAAAAGTGGAACCGAAGATGGTGTAATTCATAGCAAAGTTCCACAAACAAATGTACAAAATTGCATAAAAATCGAGATGTAACACTTATCGGTGTTTCCTTGTCAGTAGCTAGCATTATATATTATAACATTATAGCAGAGACCCTCTACATAGTATGTAACGCAACATCACTATGCATTTAAGACGATGGTAACACTACATAATATAATTTATTAGAAAAACAATGCAGCAAGCTACGATTCTCTATCATGTTTAGTTTAGAAGTTATACTTACTTAAAAAGTTTGAAACATACACATTTAATTGACAGAAGGACAATGACCTTTCTTGGGGCTTTTGGTTTCTATCTGTAAAGCTTTTTTACATTATATAATACATCATTATAATATACGAATCTCTTAATATATGAAACATAATTTTATAACACTTCATTACATTAGCTATGATTGAGAGCTACGTCTCCCAAACTTCCAAAGAACAATCACATCCACCCAGTGAATCTATACGAATAAGTTTAAAACTATTTAACCATGTAAATCGCAGTTCTCTATTACATTTAGTTTATAAATTATATTCATTATAAGTATGATATTATCATACTTTAAATTAATGTAACTTCTAAAGTAAACGTGATAGAGGATTATGGTCTGTGGCATTGTTTTTCAATACTAGCACTGTAAAATTATGCTTTGTTTTCAATTTGAATATGTATTTAAATTGTGAAAAAAAAATCTTGAATTTAGCCTGTAACAAGTCCATGTACACCTTAAACAATATGTAATGTGTAAACCACCAATTATGTTTTGTCATTTAGGCCCGTACAAATGTATTTAGTTCAAACAGTTTTAAAGAGAATACTTTTGTCTTTCTCATCTACTACTTTTTCCATGAAATATACCTATAATTTCAATGTGTATTAAATGTGTATTTAATGTGATACGTTTGATTAATTGTTTTCAACAAATAATAGTATATTAGTTTGTATTCAATTTCTTTGATGTAATTTTCGTAGAATTAATATACATTCAACATTTTGATCGATCTTAATTAATAGATTAATTTTTTCAATTAAAGGGAATTGGTTGATCGTGTGCCTTATTCCACTAGCAATGGCAACTCAGGCAGTTGACAATGAAGCACTCCGTGCTGTTTCACAAGGCACAAATGAATTTTCATCATCGCTAGTTCAGGTAAGAAAATGCAATATATATAGATCTTACGTAAAATTGTTATTAATCTGAATATTGGAAAGGTACAAATTACGCAATATAAATATTTTTCCAGGCTGTAACAGAGGAGAATCAAGGCAATCTTATAATGTCTCCTATTAGCGCAGCTATTGTTCTTGCTATGGCTTCTTATGGCGCTCGTGGAGAAACAGAAAACCAATTTAAAAGGGTTCTTCATTTGCCATCCCCGGAGAGTCTTGGTACAGCTGGTTATCAAGCACTCATCGATAGCCTCAATGTATGTATCAATTCTTTCTTTTTCTTCTTCTTTGTTTCACTTTATTTTTGTGCATGTAATTTTAATTTCATATTATTTCCTATTAATTTATATGTTTTATTGTAGAACGTTAAGGAAAATAAACTTAGCGTTGCAAATAAAGTTTTCGCAACTGACAAATTTCCTGTAAAACCAGCTTATCAACAATTGACAGCAAGTTTCTTCCGTTCTGCTACTCAATCGGTAGACTTTGCCAAATCTGTAGAAGCTGCAAATATTGTCAACACGTGGGTTCAACAAAATACAAATAATCTCATTAAGAGCATCGTTAATCCTGGTTAGTAAATTTACCTACTAATTGTGTAAGATATGAAAACAGTTGTATTATACGTTCTGTATACTATCATATTATAGAGAGTAAAAAGTAACTAAAAATAAAATATTCTAGTATATAATTAACAGACACATTATAAAAATGAATTAAACAACCTCGAATTCACCAATTATATCTTCTGCGAACAGATGATTTGAGTTCGGATACAGCATTAGTACTTGTGAATGCTGTATATTTCAAGGGTCAATGGAAAAATAAATTCAATTCTAACTTTACTAAACCAATGCCATTCCATATTAATGAGAATACAGTACGAGATGTTCCTACTATGTACAGACAAGGCTCCTACAAGCATGGCAATATTGAAAGTTTGAATGCACAATTTATTGAAATACCATACAAGGTAACATTTTAACCGAGATAATATTTGTAAACATTTGTTCGCGTTGCAAGTACGGTAGAAATAAAATAATGTTCGAGTTATAAAAATAACTAAACCAATTTTATAGGGAGGTGAATTGAGCATGGTTATAATTCTTCCAAATGAAATTAATGGTTTGGCCGAGTGCGAAAGAAAAATGCGAGATATGAATATGAATGATATATTAAATCAAGGATATTCACGCGATGTGCAATTATTTTTGCCGAAATTTAAGATCGAAAGCAAAATAGATCTCAGAAGTGTTCTAATCAAGGTACGTTTATCATAATTATAATTATATATAATTATTATAATTATAATTATATAGTAGGCATTTTCTCACATACTCTTCATTTTTATCCTATTTAGTTGGGTCTAACTGACATGTTCACCACGCACGCTAATTTCTCTGGAATGGCTGATGGTCCCTTGGCTGTTAGCAAAGTTGTACAAAAGGCATTTATCGAAGTGAACGAGGAAGGTAGCGAAGCTGCTGCTGTAACTGGTAAGTCATCAATTTGTTCTTTTGAGAAATTTCGTGTTGAGGTTAAGCAAAGTAATATTTTAAAATATAAACCTCTAAGGTACACGACATAACACAATAAAAAGTCATAGATTTTGTAGTACGATCTGTATATATGATAATCTGGAATCTGTATGCGCTGAGAGTAGCCAAACGTTAATAGTCAATTTTGTCATTATGTTATTTTATTTATGTTATCAATTTTATATACTATGTATGAGTTAAAAGTATGGTACAAATTTTGTTTCTAAAATTATAAAATTCTAGTAGCTGCGTAATAAGATTGTAAAGGTCTCAAAGACTTTTGTCAGTCGTTGTTAAAGCTCTTTACTTCTACATTATCAATTATTCTGTCTATCGATCATGTTCAATTAAAATGGTAATAATTTAATGAACACATTCGTTATTAGTGGAAGTAATATTTTGCTTAATTTCATTTTTTGCTTAATTTATGATTCTCTTTTGCTTTCACAAGAAGTGCAGAGAAACTGAAGAATTATCGTGTCGCTTAAATTAAAAATGTTATATAACGCCTTTATAATCTTCATTTTCTCTGAACCTCTATATGTGTGTACTCATGTGCTGTGTGCAAATTCAATAAATTATGTAGTTTCTTAATATCTAGTTAACAATATGCGAATGTTTTCTTGTGTTCGGTTTGCTGGATTGTGTAATATTCTATACTATCTGTCTGTATATGCCTTTTTTTTTTACATCATTTTTCACATTGCGCTGTGTACTAATCATTCACTTTAGTGAAATGTGATATATACGCATGTCATAAATAATATAGCTGAATAGGTATTATGTATATATTCATGATAAATAAAACATCGGTACAACAAATAGATTTACATAGTAGTATATAGAATGTTGTATGATTGGTATGGTATAAACACTGTTAGGTATCGATTGTAATTTAATCATATTATTCATTTAATACATATATGATTAATCACAAATCATAGAAACTGTTACAATATTCGACAAAACCGATAGAGAGAAAAGGAAATGAAAAAAGAGGAAGGAAATTAAACAGGATAGAGAATCAGTACCTTGCATAAGTACATTTTACTCTTCCTCGAATTGAAAATAATATGAAATTCTTTTCGACAGAAAATGGGTTGACATTCTTCTTGTCTCCTCTACATGGAATGTTTCGAGTAAATGGACCATTTTTTTATGCAGTTACAACAAGGAGCGACAACGTAATCCTCTTCACTGGCAGAGTCATTAGTCCAGATACAAACGCTTGATTTCTCAATTATATTATGCATCCTGTTTCTAATGACTGATTATTATTATTTTCAGAAGCATACATAAATTCAATTCCTTCGCTCTTTTTCCTTTTCTCGTTCTCATACTGTTATATTTCTTGCATTAACTCTGATCATTCCGATCACTCTCTAACACGATTAGAAATTTTCAGTAGGAACACACAGAACAGGCCTAATTGTTTTCTTACGAATTCCGTGATTACGGGTCAAACGAGTAATTCACTGTTAATTGATTCTGGCAGGTATCGGTGTAAGGCCTCTTTCGAGTTTTTGGTCGCCGCCGAAGCCCATTGTGTTCCACGTCAATCGACCATTCCTGTCGATCGTTAAATATTACCAAATGATATTGTTTATAGGGAGTAAATATTAGACGATAGCATTTCTCCCTAATGAAAAAAGCACAGTCAATTTCGATTTTGTATGATATTCTACTATTTGTCGATTTAAGCGAGAGAGATTTGAAATTTTTTAACCATTTTCCCCCTCTCTTTACATCTACAGTTCTCGAAATTAAATTAGAGGTGATCATATACCACTAACTTGCCAATATTAATATAAGTCGCTGAACTGCTTCGACTAATTGAAATAAATATCTTTTATTTCATGTCGAAAAGATTATCACTCGTGTTGCATTTCATTGAGAGCTTAAGACTTGTCAGCATTATCCAATTCATAAATTGACGAAGATACTATAAAACAAACAATAATTAATTCTTATACTGCCATTTACGCCTGCGATAATTTAATTTTTATGAGTATTAAATATCATAATTTTGTCTTTGTCCTGTTTCATTACAGATTTTCACCTCTTATTTAAACAAATTCATTACTCGCGACAATTGCACATATATATTTAAATTCAGTATACTCGCTCGAATAATAATCTTCCTTTAATAATCACAAAAAACAGAAGTCAAACTCTTCGCATTTATTGTAGTATCTATTTTATAAAAACGATATTTTGATAAGGTTTGACCTACTTTTATAAACAAAATTTTTATAATGCCATGTTGCCTTATAGATTTAAGGAAAGAGCATTCCACTGACAATTATTTATAAGATTTTGTAATTCCATAAGAAGTAGTTGTGTTTTTTGTATTGCATACACAAACAACAAGATCAAATGCTTTTAAGGTCATATACTATTTGTAATTTTAACAAGTTAACTAGAATTTGTATAGAATATGTGATATTGAATAAATAGTACAGCATTTTATAATGATTTTCTTATCTCGTTCTTTGCTAATAAATGAGTTTTGTGTCATTTTGAGTAAATGCCATTTGTCTTATATAATTTCTTTAAAGGGAACTCTGGTATTGCATCGTATATCTTCGAACACCCTTTATATATAAAATTTGAACCAAAAAATATGTATCTGCTATATTTATATATTTTTATCCTTAATCAAACGATAATTAAATAATTTGTTATTCATTCTTATCTTTCAAAATATAACTATTAGTAATTTGTTATTCTCCTGAAAATAGAACCAGTTCGATTCAGGCCATAATTTTTCATTCGTAGTGGTTCGATTCTCTTTACAAAATGACAACGAGGACTAAATAAGTCTAAATTTAAATTACATTGTAATTAACTATCACTTTCCTTTTGGTGATTCTAATCAAAGCACCCCTAGCAACAAGCAACCCACTGTTCACGTGAGCTATGAATACATATTACAACTTCTCAACTTTATAGAATTAAAGAATTATAATAATTAGACTGCGAATTTTATACATTTGTGTGCTAAATATATGTAGAATATATTTTATAAATTGTTACAATAGTATCATTATTTCCTTTTGGATAATTATATATATATATATATATATATATATACATATGTATCGTACAAGTTTATTATATTCGTATAGGCCATGAATGCATAAAATCCGCAGTTAGTAATATCTTTAAAACTTTTTGCTTGTGACCACTCACAATCAGTGACGTATCTTCTCCAACATATTTCAAGAGTTTGTCGAAATCTTTGAGGGTTTTCAATAATTCCTGAAATAGCTTATTTAGCGTAAACATAAATTGATTCTAGGATATCTGCTCAAATTTAATGCAATAATTCATTGTATTTCATTACCTTCTAGCTTTGAAGATCATTTATAGAATGTATCTTCAAATTAAAAGAATTAAATGATTAAATCTTCCCTATGACAATTAGTTTAACTCGTAAATATTTGCATCTAATATGTGTTTATTTCTAGGCATGCATTTCTATGCACTTTCGGCAGCTCCTCCGCCAGAAGAACCCTTAGTCTTCAGAGTTGACAAACCTTTTCACTTTGCAATTAAGCATAACCAAACTCCGCTCTTTGTTGGAACGATGACAAATTTCCAGAACAATTAAATTAAATTAAATTAATGAAATAACAATTGCGTTTAATTCGACTGAACTGTTCAAGAGAATGTAGCTTTTCCCATATTTCATAATTGTACGTGTATTTTTCAATTGTCAAATAAATTTATCTAGTAAGGGGATACAATTTTCATATCTCAATTTCATTTTATATTTATTTCTATCTCATCATTCAATTTTTTGACTAATCAATTTACACCTCCATCGCTATAAGATTTCTTTAAGGATACTATTACAAACTACATTTTCATTTAAAAATTAAAGAAGGAATTTTGTTTTAAAAAATTGTTCAAATTCTGCTTCGCTTCCCATTATTATACAAGGGTGGTCCATACGTCACGATCACTTAAGATATCTTAAATAACTATCATTTTGAAAATTGAATTACATGGTTTGGTTCCATTTTTGGAGGCTGACTGTTTCATCCTAACATTGTGCTCGTGTATTGTTATCGAGACATCCTAATCAGTTTGATCAGTTATCCAATTAGATTCAGAACGGTCATCCTGCAATTTGTTCCAGGAGTATTAATCGAACAACGTTCTATGGTGCACAGACCACGAGTGAAGATTGATCGTCCCTTTCTATATAGTATCAACCTAGTTGTGAAACAAGATACTCAAGATATTATACCAATATTTACTGGGCATGTTCTCGAACCAAATTTCACTTAATTTTGCAAGGACTATTTTCTACACTTATCTAGATTAGTGTTAATCATATATAGTCTAGTCCGCATTAACCAAAGATTTAAAATAATGGCATTGAAATAATGTATTTTTGTACGAGGATTCAAATATTTGATTGTACATGCAAGCATACTTATAAACATTTGACAGAAAGTCATTGTGTAACAGACAAAGCATGTATAATGTAAAAATAAACAAGTGCGAAATACAAAATATTAAAACAGATCTTTATGAGAAATAATTTATATATCAACGATTTGTTTTTTTTTTTTTTTAATATTACACATGCACATGGGTATAAAAACTAGAAAATCTTTGAAAAAGTTTGTGTTTTTACGTATTGCCATTGTTTCAGGAATATTATTTTTAGACTCTATTACAATCTCGGTAGATATGTTAATAAACCATCCATTCCTCTACACTGTACTTATAAAAGGGGACACAAACATGCCAATATTTACAGGACGCATAACTGAACTCGAATAATCTGAACCCAGTTTAAAGCGATCTTAAAAATTACATTTGATCTTAGTTTTTACCCAAAAGTTCTTGTAAACAGTACTAATAAATATAATAATAATAGACGGAGTGCAGTTACCTTCTCTACCCAGTATGAGGCGAGTACAATATGGTATAATATTAGATCTCTGTTATTGCATGGTGTCAATAAGTAGAAGGAATGGTTGTTGACCGATAGAGAATAGGGATAGTAATAGGCTTATTACTGCTTATTTGTATTGGTTGTATCGGTAATAGGCGAACCTCTCAGACAGTACTCGCTATATATACTACAATTGCAGTCTTATCAAAATCCATTGACCTCTGAAGACTTATCTTTCGTTTAACCATTACTTCAAACCATTAATCTTAGAGTATAAATGCAATAGGTGTACAGCGGTGTATAGTAACTTGAAATAACATTTCATGGGGTATTAGTTAATTATAAGTGTTACGGGTAATTAAGAGAAATGAAAATCACAGTCCCTGTAACACTACGCATTCCTACATTGTATTTACAATGCTTGCAATGTCCCATTTCAACTTGTTTTAACCACGTTCATGGGTTTGACGGGTTTCGCGCCAATCAAGTTTTCACCCCGGATTATGAAGATTGATTGTCCATTTCTTTATAGTTGTATTCAAAAAATTAAAATTAAGGAAGCTTTAAATACTATAGTTTTGTTCAGTGGACACATTAATACTCTTTAAATTGAATTGATTTTTACATCCGTTTATGTATGAACTTTTTAATATCTTTTGACCTTACGTAATACACAGTGCATGTATAAACTGTAGTATAAATCTTTGTATGTTAACGCTTCTTTATATTGTAGTGATCGTTTTATGGCTGTTATTAAGTATATTTAGTTTTTAATATTGATTAAGAAACAAATCATTTACTTAAATAATATGTTATCATATTATACCACAATTTTGTTACAGGAATGGTAGTGAACGCATTTTCGTTAGTAATACCAATGCAAATCGAAGTAAATCGTCCGTTCCTCTTCAGTATTGTTAAAAGAATTTCCAATAACGAAACCAGCAACCCCGAAATAACATCGATATTTACTGGAGTCGTTAGCGAACCTCAGACTTAAACATAATAGACTCTTAAGTGATCGGAACTACCACAAAATTAATTCCTTGTGAATAAGTACTTTATATACCTTCAACCAAATTTATTAATGTTAATTCTATTATCGAACGAGCGTGATATTTTACACTGGTCTACTAAGAATGATAATTACACTGGAATGTATAAAAATTAAAAATAAACACATTTAAATGATTTTAATAGTAAATTTATTCATACACTTTATAACATAATTCATGCTGGTGTTATCTTAGTAGCCTTATTAATGCTGCTTTTTCCTGGATGTTTAATGTATTGTGAACGTTGTCTGCTACGATAAAATAAAAAAAATATCGTTGTTATTTTACAATTTTGTTGCAGGATTAATAGCAGTACGCTGTTCCCTTTTCCAATCAGAAGTCAGAATCGACCGTCCATTTTTCTATGGCATCGTTAAAACGCTTCGTAATGACGAATCTAATACTTCTGAAAATGTATTAATATTTACAGGACAAGTAAACGATCCATCAATTTAAAGTAAAAACAAAGCAAACAATTTAACAACGTCATACATGACAACCGTATAAACTTTCACCATTCGTACATAAACTATATATAATGCATACGCAATGTAATAAAAGTTAATTTAAATAAAATATGTAGAGACCAGAATAGAGCTAAAATGTTTGAGTTATAAAGAATATATCTTCATTTATACTTTTAAGTTTACTCCTTGAAGATATCAACAATTTAAACTTGGACAGTTTTCTGATCTCTATGTATTTTATATTTATACTTTTCAGCAACCAGTCAAGAAAATTTCCTTTTGTCAGGAAGTTAATACAATTGAATAATGTATTTAATAATATTTAATAGCAACGGTTATATTATGAGAAATATAATCATCATTGAACAACATGTGCGAAACAAAGAAACATTAAATACAGAAATATTTTGACCGTTAATCTTTCATGTATGTATATGTTGTACATACTTGTCGAAGTAACATATGCATGATTGCTATTTAAACAAAATTAATTCACTGCTCTCATAGAAACAAGTATCCAATAACATGACTTTCTTATTTCGTAATGTTTTGTAATAATTTGTATGAAACAAAACGTATTGCACAAATATACGCGTAATATACGTCTGTTGAATGGAGTTATAATTCTTGTTTCAAAAAGTGTAGTTTAGAACTGTATAAGAATTATACGTTAAAGGAATAGTTTTAATATTATTTATTCTTAGAATCTCGTATAGTAGTTGTAATTTGCAGAGTACTTGGTTTATGTATTTCTTACGCCCATATAATTAACTAATAACACAGTTATCTGGCTTTGTGAATTTCAGGGTATGTCCAGTTTCTGTTGATGTAGTACCAGTTGACGTAAGGGATCCTCGACGTGGTACAATTGTTGACATAGTAGCAGTAGTATCCAAAAATTCATCGTTATCAGAATCAGTATCTTTGTCTTTGCCGTCTCTGAACTGTCTTTTTGGCATTATTTCGTGGATATACTTTTCAATCATTTGTCGATTTTGAGGCGAAATGGTATTACCATTACCTGGTACGTATGGTAAACTATCATTCTTTTCTTGTTGTTCTTTGGACACTCTTTCCTTGTACATGTGGTACAATTCAGCAAGCGCTTCGTCCATAAAACGAACATTTTGTTGTTTGCCATTCGGTAAAATGTTATTGTTGAAACCAAGAGGTCTACAAATTTCATCATTGGGATCTTTCTTTTTTGAGTTTTCAACATCCATCGTTGTTGTTGTAAAACCTATGGGGAACGTAGGTTGTTTATTTACTACATTACGCGATGATACTGGTTTCTGTTCGTTTGTTGCTCCATATTTATTTAGCATCCAGTCACGAACGTAACTTTTGTCATCTTTCATTTGATTTTCTCTCGACACGACGCTGGGCTGTCCTGTTACATAGCCTTCGTTATAACCGATCGTACGGACGTTTGGCTGTTTCTGTGTATTTCCTTGATTCTTCTGTTCATTTTGTGCCGCAAGATCTTTCCATCTTCCTGTGTTCATAACAAGCTGAGCCAATTGTTGAATCGTTTGTTTTGGTACAGGAGGTTTGTCTCTATTGCTAGAAATGATTTCTAATTTTGCTGGGGTAGAACTATCACAAGGTTCTCCAGATATATAAGTAGGCCGAATATTTAGTTGTCGTAAATGCTCATAACTTTCTCCTTGACCAGCTAACAAATCGTCCTCGATATTTTTTAAATTTCCTTCGTTCGCGTAATAACCGTCACACTGATTCATAAATTCCGCAGCGCGGCATTCGTTTTCCAAAAATGCTGCAGTCAGTACCATAGCCGCAGTTGGTTCTCTCTGCGTGAATAATTTTCTGCGCGCATGTAAAGTTTGACTGATCGTCGTTTCGAGACGAGCATTTTCTATTTTCTCTTCCAGTTGTTTCTCCATTTCCAAGAATTTCATTGTTTCAAATTTCATGACTTGCGTGTTCATAGTAAAGTTCTCCATTTCTCTGACTATACGCCTTTCAGCGGAGGATTGAGTTCGAGTTTCTGTGATCGGAGCAGGTTGGAAACCCAATCTTTGCTGAGCCTTCACGAAAGGAGACTGTGATACCGGTCCTAATTTCGACCATATAGTGCCAGGTTTTTTTATAGGGCTAGTTATAGGAGTAACAACACCCGGTCTTGTTGCTACTGGATTTTGATTAATCAATTCGATATTAGAATTTGGCACTGTACAAGGAACTCTGCAAGGTTTCGGAGGAACTAAATCCAACTTTGGAGGAGGTGCTCCGGGCCTTGGTGGAGGCACTAAAGATGTTATTATAGGTTCTTCCAGCGGTGGAGGTATTTCAACATTTTGCTCTGGATTTTGTTTCGTAAGCACAGAAGTATGAACAACCTTCAACAAATTATCCAATCGATTTTCGAGCCTGTTTTGACGATCTCTGTCGACGTCTAAGAATTTCGTTAGGATATCATTTTGTGCTGCGAGAATCTAGAATAATATAGTATTATTATACGAACTGTTTATGTAAAGAAAATCAATTAATTTTATTATACCTTATTAACAACTTCATTCTGAGAATTAATCGCACTCAGAAAGAGCTGCTCTAGTTTCTGCGCTTTCTTTTTTCTTACTGGTACATGTGGAATGTTATCCGTATTAACTGCAGTGTCTTTTGATTTGCTGTCGCTGTCCGTTTGAGTTAAGGAGTCCATTAAAAATTCCATTAAAAGACTATCATCGTTACACGTCGCGTTATTTGTTATTACGGTATTATCAGGATTGTTAGGCACTGTTAATGGATTTGGCACTTGCGTAGAACAACTGTAGCCTTCGTTTAGGTTATGCATTTTCTCGTCACTTTTTGATTGGCAAAAAGCATCATTTAAATTTTGAGACACATCCGGAGAATAAGTTGGAGATCCTTTTTCTTTATCATCTATTATAGGAGGCATATGAGATAGTACGTTGCCATATTGCTGTCTATATGCAGCTACTAAATCTCGCCTAAACGCAAGTTTTTGTGGCTCTTGAGGCATCGCACGATTATTTGCTTGCACTATCTGTTGCAAATGATTCTGTTGCTGAATCATATGTTCCAAATTACAATTCTGTATAGTCGACGGACTAATTCTTTGCGGAACATTTACAGACAGAGTCGCTAAATTTTGATTCAATTTGTGCAGATTCTGTTGAAACCCTAAATTGTTTCCTAACATATTTTGCTGATTGCATATATCGTTTTGTTGAAAATTTTGATGTTGCTGCATGTTCTCTTGTATTATATGATTTTGTACATTTTGGACCGTATTTTGATAGGGTACTTCGCTATATGGATTGCTGTGCAATACATTCTGTTTATAACTTGCACGCACCGGTTCTTCCATTGGAAAAGAACCGCACTGTGTTGATTTGCCAGCTATTTTAACTAACTGTTCGCCAGTATTAATGGCTACATCCCTTGTTGGAGAGAAGACTCTATAAGGCCGAGCTATTACGGTTTCATTTGACTCTGGAGAGTCTGGATATTCGTTTTCACCTACAAAATGATATGTATATAGACATTTATAGTATTATATTTTATTATTATATGTTGATTTTGTTTTATAGGGACATCTTAAACTTGTCATTTTCTGTATAGAAAATAGTTAAAGAGGAGAATTTGTTTTGTAACACAACACAGTACTGGTACACAGAGATGCGCAAAATGTTATTTAAATAATATTTACATACATGTGTACAATTTACTGATAAGTGATAGGTTTTCAAAGTTTTACAATAACCCCTTGGAGGAGGCACTAAAGATGTTATTATAAGTTCTTCCAGTGGTAGAGGTATTTCAACATAACAACATATGTTAATATGTTAATATAGTTATATATAACAACATATGTTAATAGTATCGTCGAGTACCCGAAAGGTAATACTTACGCCCAAATGTGTGAGTAGGAGACAACGCTTCTGTACGATGAAGTGTCTGTATAGGCTCTGAATATCTGTGTCTCATTTCCATATTTTTATTTGTTTTAACATCTTTTGGTGGAGACTTGACGTGTAACACTGCATCTGTTAAGACAGGAGAAAGCCAAACTGATTATTTGGAGTACGGAGAAGTGTACTTACATTATTTCATCTCAAAGCTGTTTTTGATAATTACTGCGCAAGCATTAATATAAAAGAAGAATACCAAAAACCAGAAATAGAAATTTTGGAATCCTCACCTACGGTATCTATGCCATCAATGTTAATTCCCTCCAAACGTTTGTTCTTAAGAACACGATCGATCGATTCATAATATTGCTCTACACCCGCTCGTGTACCAGCTCTTTTGGCTTCTCGGTAACAGACCAAAACTTGCTTCATTCGGGATCGACATTGTTTAGCAGAAACGTTGTATCCCTTTTTCGTCATATAACGGGCGACGCTTTCCCAAATAAGCTGTGGTTTCGAGGCGTATTCGAGTTGTTTCTGGACTTGCCTATCGGACCATACCGATACCAATAACGCTGTGCTCTCGGGGCTCCATTTATATTTGACACCGTCCCCGGAATCGCTCATCTCTCAACGATTACTTTTTACGTCTCGTTAAATTAAAAAGAAGATTAAAAAGAAGCTAATATAGGAACTGGGGTGTACACAAAGCAACAAGTACAACCGTATCGTATTCTAAAACATATCAACAGGTTGCTGCGAAATGCACTCTCGCAATCGGGTGTATCACGTCAGAGGCTGCGACAAATTATGCATGTATTCGGATCTCAACCGACACCCAACCGACACGATTCAAATTTCGTTGTGCAACAGGTGGTGGGGACAGGGCCGGTTTTAGCAATATTGGCGCCCCGGGCAAGATTATCGCGGGTCCCCTTCAGAGGCTTAACATTTTTAAAAAACATTTTATATGACACTGATATCGATAAAATATTAC